AACCCCTAAACCTTGAATCCTGAACCTTGAATCTGAAACTTAAGTCCTAAACCCAGAACCCCAAAACCTTAGGCCATGAACCTCATCACCACTGCCCCGTGGCCCCCGGATGTTGCCGAAGCCGCCCGGCACCGTTGTTTAAAGTTTCTTTAAGGGCTCCTCTAGGGGATCTGTGAGGGCTTATAAGAATCTCAGGGGTTCTGTAAGGGTTTTCGGGCTCAGGGGGTTCAGGCTTTAGACATTTAGGGGCCGTTCATCAAGGTTTTAGGAGGGTTCCTCTGAGGGATGTTCAGGGGTTCTATGGGTTTTCGGAGTGTAGGGTGTCAGGGGTTCAGGCTTTATAGAGTTAGGGGCCGTGAAGGGTTTCGTGGCTCGACGTGGAGTGTCCTTTTGGGAAATCCCGAAAACATGTAACTTTGCTAATGTATCCCTAAACCCCAAGCCCGAAACCCTGAAACCTGATTCCCAAACTGACTATTTTTGGAGTTGGTGAGACCCTTCACCCTGAACCCAGGACCCTCAAGCCCAAAACCCTAAACTTCCTAATTTCCAACGGACCACTGACTAAATCCTAAGCTCCAACCCTAAACCCTACACTCTCGTAAATCCCGTCAGGAACGCCAAGCCAAATCCTGAACCTCTAATCCCCCCCCGTACTAAACCCTAAAACCAAAGCCTAAAGCTAGAGCCCTTAACCCTGAACCCAAAACCCATAAGATCAAAGCCGACTCACGCGGCCAGGTTGATGATTTTTTAAGGGTTTTGTGAAGGGTTCTTTAGGGAGTTTACGTGGGTTCCTCCAGGTTTTATGTGGGTTCGATGAACGTTTATGAAGGTTCGATGAGAGTGTTATCAGGATTCGATGACAGTTTTAGAAGGGTTCGATGGCAGTTTTATGAGGGCTCTATGACAGCTGCACGATTGTTCCGTAAGGGCAGTGAGGGTTCTTTTGGTTTTGAGCGTTTGGTGCCAGTCCAGATTTTCTTGTGGTAGCTTAGGTCCAGTTCGCGTCTGGTGTGCTGCAAGATGTTGGGGCGATTGTTATACGGAGCCTACAAGAGGGTGTACGTTTGAATAACCCCAAGGGTTGCAAGTCTTCCGAAGACATCTGGGAAAGAGTTCAGGAGCCCCCTAACCCCCAAACCCTGGACCCGAAACTCTAAACCCTAAACCCCAAACCCTAAACCTTAAATTAAACCCTAAACCCTAAACCCTAAACCCCAAACCCTAAACCCTAAACCCTAAACCCCAAACCCCAAAACCCTAATGCTACCGGGCCTGGGTGGGCAGCGACATCTTTAGTTGTGGTAAAGAAGGCTGACCGCAACTGCTTATATAAGGCTTTGTTAGGGTTTGACGGTTTAGGGTTTCGGGTTTTAGGATTGGAAGGTTGCATTTAGAGATTTAGGGTTTAGGGTTTACGGTTGCAAGCTTAGACTAAACCCTTAACGGCAGCTGTAGTGACGTTTATGTGCTGTCCAGACGTCAGTATCAGAACAAAGAAAATTGAAGCAACGGCGATGGCAGGTCCATGCGGACCTCCAAGTTTGTGCTTTCGAGAGTTTGGGATGGGGCAACTGTAAGCGCTGCAGTTCTGGAGCCCAGCAGTTCAAGAAGCCAAGTGGTCTAGCCACACGCCAATTTTTTTTGCAAGAGCGTGCGCTAGCCCCTACACCCTAAACCTTAAACCCTAAACCTTAAACAGGAGCTTCGAGGACCTGCTGCTGACCGGGACCGCATGATTCACCCAGAGCATTTTTATGAAAGCACGAGGTCCTCCGACGTGAGCGCCGGGAGAAGAATGAGAAGCTTCAGGAGACCGTCCTGCAAGAGGCGCTCACGACGGCTCAGCTGCTGCGCGTGACAGCAGAGAAGGATCAGCTTCTGAGATGTAGATGTGCTAACCCTCGATAATACGTCTCACAGGAGGGGGCGGTTGCCGACCTGCAGCGGCACCGGGGGCTCGTCTCCCAAACGGTTAGGGTTTAGGGTTTAGGGTTTCGGGTACCAGAGCAAGTTGAAGAAGGACAGAGGCAAATTCAGAGACGCCTCTGCGGGAACGCCGCGTGAAGGCAGCGATACCTCAGGGCTCAAACCCTAAACCCTAAACCCTAAACCTTAAACCCTAAACCCTAAACCGGGGCTGCTGCCTGGCCACCGGCCAGAAGTCTCTCAAGGAGTTTAGGAGTTTAGAGACATCACGCTTTAGGGTTTCCGGTTTAGGCTTTAGGGTTTCGGGTTTAGGCTTTAGGGTTTCGGGCTTAGGGTTTAGGGTTTAAGTTTGGGGTTTAGGGTTTCAGGTTTCGGGTTTCGGGTTTTGGATTTAGGGTTTCGGGTTTAGAGATTGGGGTTGAGGGTTGTTTAAGTCCAAATAAACTCTGCCCGAGATAGCCCACCTGAGGCCCTGAAAGCACAAAGCACCAAACTACGCGCAGAGCCCAAACCCTGACAAAAGGCAACACCAAACATCGGCCGAATAGATCCTTTGTGCGACCGTTATGAGACAATGAAAGAGTCCTATTATGAAACCCTGTCTTGGAGGGTCGGGCGACTTAGTAAGTAGGTACTAAGTAGACTTATAAGCACCCTGAACAGGATCCCAATAGGGGTTATAATGCTTATAAGTCTATAAAATTACTGCTTACTACATCTCCAAGCCCTAAACAAAAACCCTAAACCCTAAACCCTAAACCGTAAACCCTAAACCCTAAACCCTAAACCCTAAACCCTAAACCCTAAACCCTAAACCCTCAGGCCCTAAACTCTGGACCCTCCCAGTAACAGAACCCCTGGCTTTGTAGGTCCTTGCAATGCCGGACCTGCGGCTTGCAGCAGCCCGCGTCCAAGCTGCGGGGATTTAGGTTGAATAGCGTTTTTTTGCTAAGGGTTTAGGGTTTAGGGTTTAGACTGGTTCCCGAAAGGGTTCCTCGAAGGGATCCGCAGGAACGGCAGATGATGAGGATGGCATTGTATTGTTAATTACAGATTGAAGCAGTTCTAAAGGGATTCTGTAACGTTGCAGGTAGTTCGTTAGGTGCTTATGTAGTTCGTGGCGTTATTATGATGTTATGCATCTTTATCATTCCTGCGGTCGTTGTTCCTCTAGTGTTGCTTATCTTTCTTACTGTTTGGAGGTTTCAGGGTTTTGGGGATTGAGGGTTCAGGGCTTTCGGGCCTTTTGGAGCTACTGGCAATTGTTATCTACCCATGATTGGGCTTAGTGTGTCTTGTTTGCTTTCGAAGCTTTCGCTTTAAAATATCGTGTCCCGGGTTCTTTAGTGAATGGATGACAAAGCGTTCCATAAAGGCGATGAAGCTATCTCAGCGTTTCACTGAGCTCTCTTAGGGGGACTGTTTAAGGTTTGAGGTTTTGGCGCGTGGGCTAATACAACAGCAGTCTAAGACTAGGTAGCGCCACCTGTACGGACCTGCGCTCTGGCGCATGTGTTGTTTGGCCAAAAACGTGAGTTTTCCGAGGCCAAATACCATTTTCAAGTTGACAAGAGATTGGGAGAGGCAACAGTGTGCAAGCAATTTCTTTTTCGGAGTTGTTTTACGGCGAGATTTTCCATTGTCGGAGAGTTAGCTTCCCCCATGGTTTTCAGCTTGGTTTTCTGTATTTGGACTTCGGGACAGCATTGTCAACGCATGCTGTGTGTTTTGCTGTACGGTCGGGATAGGTGGCTGTTTGCCTATATGCGGCAAAAGTGTGGTCTTTATGAGGCAAAACATGCTTCAACCCTAATTAACCCGAAACCCTAAGATTAATTTCACATGTAGTTTTGTGCACGCAGCAGCGCCTAGGCCAGGAAGGTTTCGGAGGTTGTAGTCCTGAGATCATCAGAGTCGGAACCACGGTTCTCCCGTAAAAAAACACAGCATTTTGTGTTTTTTACATGCTTTCATGCTGGAATGGTGTCGTAAATGCGATTGCTGACAGCACCACTATCGGCGAGACTGTTTGCCCCGGAAGAAAACAAAGCCGCGTTTTGCAGTCTTGCATGCTTGGGTGCTGGAATGGTGTTGTCGAGTTCTGTGTGCTTGGCAGAGAAAATGAAAAGTCCCTTTACGTCCTGTGCAGTAGTTGATGTCGTGTAATATGAACCGTATTACCATTGATAGGGTCTCAGCGAAAGTCTCAGCTAGCTGGTAAAACCGCATCGGACCAACTTCGTCAGATTGAGATGTTGCAGAATGATTGGGGTGATGATTCGGAAAGACAAGATGGTGATGATACCGAGTACTGAGCAGTTGTCCAGATAAGAATCTCCGCGAAGGTTTCAGACAGCCCTCAAAGCCCTAAACCCTAAGCTGCACGGGTCAACTTTGTCAGGTTTAGATATTGCGTGATGCTTAGGGTGATGATGCTGAGTGGACGTTAACATGGTTCGAGCATGGTTCTTCTGCGGGAACGAATGGGGTCCGAGTGGACGTTTAACACGGTTCGAGAATGGATGCTCTGCGGGAACGATTGGGGCCTTACCAGGGTGGAGCATACGGTGATGTGGCCGAATGTAGCCATGCACAGCCCTTACTTCTCTGCTCCCAACCCGAAACCCTAGACTGCAAACCCTCAGCCCTAGACTTCAAACCCTACGCCCTAAACCCAGCTGTCAAAGTTCTTTGCTTGCCAGCTTTGACAGGCCATGACGAATATAGAGCTCAAGCAGGGGCCTGTAAGCAGGCACCTAAACCCTCTAAAGCTGGATCCGCAAGGATACGCGGCAGCAGCAGCAGCAAGAGCCGAATTTGGAGGAGGCACTGCTCCGCTTCGGGGTGTAGGGCTCAGGGTTTAGGGCTCCTAGGGGTTCAGGGTAGGGTCTAGGGTTTAGTAGGGTTTAGGGATTCGTTTTCTGGCCGACGGGTTTGTGCAGGTCATGTTCTGTGGATGATCTATTGGCTTTGGCATCGTGTTTTTGAGAGTTACCTCGGGATCCAGCATGCACTTCTGGGGCTGTTTTGTGGTTTGTTGGTGCGTGGCCTCGATTACATTCCTAAACCCTACACCCAAGCCCCCAAAAGCGAGCCCATTGCACTCAAAATAACCAAAACCCTACACCCTAAAACCCCAAGACCGTCTTGAACCATCCCTGAGCATTCATTACTGAAGCAGACAGCCTTCCTCGAAGCCCGAAGCCCTACGTTGCACAACATCCACTTGGAGGTTCATGGGTAGTTATAAGTGGGGTTTACGGTGTAAGATTTAGGGGTTAGGGTAGTCATAAGTGGGGCTACCAGTCCCTAAATTTGGGGTTATAAGTATCGTTACCCCACTTATAACTACCCGCGAACTATCAAGTAATCCTAGCCAGAAATGAGACGCCAGAATCCCTGCGCTGAAGAAGATTTCCTAAACCCTAAAATCTAAACCCTAAACCAAACCTCTACAACCCTGAACCCAGAGTAAGGGACAGTAGAGTCTCGGAGCTTACGTGGGAAGCTTGGCTTAAGGCGGTGTATCGGGGTTTTGACGGGACTTTCGCGGTTTTCAAGGGTCGCACAAGGGGCCCTGACGGGCCGAACCTCAAATCCTAAACCCTAAACCCTAAACCCTCACCCTGGACCCAAGCCCAGCAGTCACACACACCCCAAACCCCGGCGCATGGCGCTGCCCCTCTCGAACCCGAGCTCAAAGCCCTATAATTTCTAAATTATTAAACCAAGCACGAATCTCTACATTTGGATCCGGTCACCTGCTGTCTTAAAGGTCGCACACAAAGTGCTCGCATAGGGATCAAGACTGCCAGTAAAGCCTAAGCCCGCAACACTAAACCGCTCTTGGCCTTGTGACCTTCCGATGTCCTGGCCCAAGAAGAAGCCTCCTGTGGATGAAGGTTTGCGTCGACAGCCCAAGAAGTTTGGACTGCCAGGAGCCCGCAGTGGGGGCGGGGGGGGGTTGTGGGTTTCGGGTCTAGCTGCTCTGGTTTGTGGTGTCTGTTAGTAGGCGGGGGCAGACTCGAAAGTCTAGGGTCTGGTGTTGAAGGGGTTGGAAGCCTTAGCAGGGGGATTATGAAGGTTGTTCCATCCGAGCAGACCTCATGAGACCCCGCCTCCATGGCTCTTGCGCCAACAAGCTTTGTGGAGCCGTCGACTCAGGTAGGCTCTTCAGGTCATTCTGCGCTCCCGATGAGAAGAAATTGGATTTAGTAAGGTTTTACCAGATTTTAGAATGAGATTATTGGGTTTATGATAAGAGGGGTTCTATGAGTTTTTTTTTTATGGGTTTCTACCCGGCGTCTATAGGTTTTTGGGGGTGTGTAAGGACAACGCCCCCGGCTGATAGGACTCGCCGCCGTTGCCTCCGGGAAGCCCTCCAGTGATCAGGCCGTTGAGGGCCCTCCTTTCGTGAAGGATCAGGGGAGTCCTAACCGTTTAGGGTTTAGGGTTTAGGGAACTCTAAACCCTAAGCCCTATTAACCGTTTAGAAGTAATATGTAAGGTTACCTTACTTACCACTGCACCTAAAGGGACTATGTGGGCTTCAATAGAGTTCACCATGGTTCAAGTTGTAGAGAAGGTTAAGAGTCTAGCATTGACTAGGGCGTTCCTGGGATCCAAAAACCCTACAGGTTTATGGGTTCTACTCTCTAATTGAGGGGTCATATACTCTACTATTTTGAGCGGTTTGGGGTCACGGGTTGGGTGTGCCGTAAGGGTTGTTGTTGTGGCTATCATAAAGGTTCATTTGCGGTTCCTGGAAGCATTCCATACCCTAAACCCTTAACCCAAAGCCCTTACCAAGCCCTAAACCCTAAGCCTTAAACGTTAAACCCTAAGCACTAAACCCTAAGCCCTAGACTGTAAGCCCTAAGCCCTGAACCCTAAACCTAAGCCCGAAACCCTAAACCTTGTCACTTCGAGGATCCCATGAAGAATCCCTTAAAGGAGCCCTAAAAGGAACTCTAAAAGGATCCCTCGAAGGAATCCTTCGTGGAGCCTAAAAGAACCCTAAAGGATCTCTTGAAGGAACCTTTTTTGGGGCTCTAAAAGGATCCCTCAAAGGAACCCTAAAAGGAACCCTAAAGGGATCCCTTCAAGGATCTCTTAAAGGACCCTCAAAGGATCCCTTAAAGGATCCCTTCACTAAGCCCTAAACCCTTAAAATTTCCAGGCTCCCTTATAGTTGAGGATCCCCTAAATAAACCCTTGATGGAGCCCTAAAAGACCCCTTAAAGGATCCCTGAAAGGATCCCCTAAACCCTAAACCCTAAACCCTAAACCCTAAACCCTAAACCCTAAACCCTAAACCCTAAACCCTAAACCCTGTCTTCTCTTTATCCCAACTGCAGGGCTGGGAGCCTAGGCCGTGGCCCTCAGCCCGGCTCGAAGATCCAGGGGTCGTCTTTAGGGTGTAGGGTTTAGGGTTTAGTGTTTAGGATTTAGGGTTTAGGGTTTAGGGTTTAGGGTTTAGAGTTTCGAGTTTTGGGTTTAGGGTTTAGAGTTTAGGGTTTAGGATTTAGGGTTTAGGGTTTAGGGTTTCGAGTTTACGGTTTAGGGTTTAGGGTTGAGAGTTTAGGGTTTAGGGTTTAGGGTTGAGAGTTTAGGGTTTAGGGTATAGGGTTCATCGCACCCCACCCCTACGCTCAAAATCGCGCAAAGGCCTGAACTGGAAAGGTCAAAACTTAATGCAGACCGCTGATGAATAATCCACTTGACCGAATATTAGGATCTTTGCTATAATCCCGAGAACGGGGGGCTTACTAATCAAGGGTCTACATGACCCTGCACCGTGCGCCCGAAGTCTTGTTTCGCAACGTAGCAGCCTAACCCCCCCTAAAATGCCAAAGCCAAACTTCACAATAGGCCTGCTTGGAACCGTCACAAAGACCCCCCG